ATGACAATGCCAATGCCAAACCCCACAGTAGTATAGTGGGGAATGCCTCGTGCCTCTTGAGGCTGGGAGGGCACGGCAACTGCCTGCAGGTGGCGGTGGCATCAGTGGTGGGGGCATGGTGGTGGTGAGCAGGGACTGCCTACAGGCGGCGGTGGTGATGTTGGTGGTGAGGGAAGGCCAAGCGGGGACTGCCTGCAGATGTCCACAGTGATGTCGGCAGCAAGGGCGGGCCAAGCAGGGACTGCCTGCAGGTGGCAACAGACATATTGGCCTTGAGGGGGGTGGTGATGAGTGCCAGGCCGCAATCAGCAGCAGATGGAGGAGGGGTGGTAAGCAGCAACTGCTTGTAGATACTGCCAGCAGCATCAGCAGTGGCCAATCTCATGGGGTGCATGTGCCCCCCCATGCCCCCCTTGCACACTGCCTGTGATAGTTATTGACTGAAAAAAAGTAGGGGCCCACAGGTGTGTTTGCCTAGGGCCCACGCCAACCACCCCTCTGCAGCTTCAAATACTCCCCAAATCCAGGCAGGCATCCTACTTGCAAGCCCCAGGCCCAGCAGCTTTGGGGTTCAGATGTTCCCTCTCCCTTAATCTTAGCCAAGGCTGAGAAACTTCTAGAAATCCCTTTCCTTTGCCCATGTGAGAGAGGGAAAGAACTGGACTCCATTGCTTCCCACACATTAACCTGGGCCAATTATTTCAGTTGGGCCCCTCCACAACGCTGGCTTCATTACAAGGCAGGCTAACAACTGAAATTTAGTGGGGATGGGAGGAGAAGGCGTTTTTTAACTGGCAACGGTGCAAGACGAGGGCTGAAGGCAGCGACAACCGAGCGCGAGCTCCCAGGGGACAAGCACGCAGCGCTGCCAGGCAGCTCCGCTCCAGCCGCTTCCACCCACGTTTTAACTACGGGGCGGGAGAGGTTCGGCTCAGGGCAGTTGGGCTTGTTCCAGGGCTCCCAGCACGTGGGCGGCCGTTAACAACAGTAACTTCACTGCCCGGGCCCGCCTCCTGGGGGCTGTGGATAGCAACTGCCGCCCTGATGATGACTGGAAGGGGCAGCTATGATGCTACCCCCAGCCCGGTGGTTGAGGGCGCCGCCCCGCCAGGAACAAGGTAGCAGCTGGGCATGCGCGGCTGGCGGGCGCCGGAAACAGTGTGGGGCGGGGTAGGGCGCACGTGCACATGCGCGCGATCATTCCTGGGCCCGGGGCGGAGCCTCCCGCCGGCCCCGCCCTGCTTCCTTTGTGCTCAGCAGCAGCGGCTGCAACAGCAGCGGGAGCTTCCAGCCGGGTCGGCGCGTGCACCCGTCTGTGCCTGCCTAGTCCCCGCTCGCCGCCATGTCGCTGGGCCCTGGCGCCGAGGCGGGCTTCTCCAGCGAGGAGCTGCTCACGCTGCGCTTCCCCTTGCACCGCGCCTGCCGCGACGGCGACCTGCCGGCCCTGTGCGCGCTGCTGCACAGCTCGCCGCGTTCCGACCTGGCCGCCGAGGACTCCTTTTACGGCTGGACCCCCATCCACTGGGCCGCGCACTTCGGCAAGGTGCGGGCGGGGTGTGTGTGTGGTGGCGCCGCCGGTCCCCCCGGGTCCCTCACGCAGGCGCTCGCACACGGCGCCATTTTATCCCGCGCGGGGGGGGG